GTGTGGGAAGGAACCTCTTGTGTTCTGTTCCAATTGTGCGATACTTCCCACAGGTACAACGTACATAAGATAAAAGCCATTTCGTTCTCGCCCAGTAGGTTAGGAACTATTATCTCACTTGACAGATGGGGAGAGCAAGAATTTGAACTCAAAGTCGGGACCCAGAGTCCAGGTGAGCTCGTGGTGGCTTGGTCACTGTGGACAGTAGTCACCGTCAGTTCCTTCCCACCCTGAATGGGCATGAGTGCCACTCCATCTCCACGAGAAAATCCTCCATTCTTTTTCTTTTTATTTTGGTACGTGCCCCTAGCAGGAACCGAACCCGGGACTCTCTGGTCCGCAGGCCAATGCTTCAACTGCTGAGCCAAACCGGCCAGGGCGAAATCCCCCATCTTGACCTGAGCTGGCCCTGGTGACCTGAGCTGGTGCAAGCGACTCTCTGGGATTTCTGAGGCTAAGTCCTGCAGCTTCTGCCCGGGCTCCTGGAAATGCACCCTTGGGGACACCAGAAGCATGTCACAAGTCCAGCTACCCCGGACTGCCAGACAGTAGGGGCTCAGTCAACAGTTGCAGCTGAGCTCAGTCCTTCAGCATCACCGCCAAGGCACCAGACACGTGAGCAAAGGTTCTGGGACCTTCCAGCCCAGGGGAAATACCAGTTCTGTACCATCAAATCCCTGCAGTCCAGGCCACAAAGACGAGAATCACCCAGCCCAGATCTCTGACCCACATGTCTCCCTGCTTACATTCCATGGCCCCCACTGATCCCACTTCGAGATGGCCTTCCTGCTGGCCACCTGGCCAACCTCTCCCTCAGCTCTCCACGCGAGCAGCTGCGAGGCCACTCCCACTTCCCATCCCCCCTCCACTTCCCATCCCCCCTCCACTTCCCATCATGCCCCCTCCACTTCCCATCACGCCCCTCCACGCCGTGGTGGACACAGGCTTCCTTCCTCACAGAATTCAGTCCAGACCCTCACTGTGGCAGTGACCACTCAACCCCGCCATGGCTGGTTGCTGAATCTGTTTCCCTCCGGGCAGGGACTCCATCCCCTCTCTCCGCAGGGTCTAGCTCCCAATCTGATAGCGAATGTGGGCTGAAGGCGTGAAACCACTCCGTCGTGATGGGGTCCAAAGAGAACCCTAACATACCCAGGGATGTTTTATGGTTTAAACAAGGTCAACACGTGAGCCCAGACCAGGGCTTCTCAACCCTGCACCCACTGACACTTTGTACTAAAATTATCTGTGGCGGGGTCGTCCGTGCCCGGTAGGAGGCTGAGCAGCATCCCTGGCTTTGGTGCGCTCACCAGACGCCAGGAGCACCCTCCCCACCACTATCACGACCGAAAACGTCCACAGACATTGCCAATCGCCCAGGGGACTCGCTCTGGTGGAGAAGCTCTCCCTGCTCTGGACAGTGGGATGTGTGTGGCTACCTTCATCCAGGAGGTTGCGACACCTGCCAGAAGTCACCTGCCAGGTGCCACTTACCCCAATACCACACGCATGCTCCCTCGTGTCTGCCTGCTCCTTGCAGACCTCACAGTTACCTGCACGTCCTGCTAACTGGGACCCTCGAAGGAAAGCGGCAGCTAGGGGATCCCCTCAGGACATCACTGCCAACAGGAGGCTGGAAATGTGGTCCTAAGAGTCCCCACCCAGGGCCGAAGACCTGCTCTCTCCAAGTGGTCCAAGGAGCACCATGTCTAAGCTCTCTACCCCAGAATCGGCTTTTCCTGTCTCTTTACAAACACCGCCAACCCTGCCTCCACAAACTGCCAGAGCAGGTTCCAAAATGCAAATGCGGTCACATCACCCCTCTTCTGGAAACCCTTCAGTGTGGATCCCTGCTGCCCACCAGACAGAGTCCACACACCCAAGCAAGACTTCGCCACCCAGAAGGCTGGATGCCACCCGTTGGCCACAACATGGCAGAAGGAACAGTAGCGGCACCCACAGGTTGGATGCTTATCCCGGGCCCCGCGCCGTATTCATTCCCAGCTGCGACTCTGTGGCGTGGACACCAGTACTATTCCCATTCTACTGAGAGGAGATTTAAATCTCAGAAAACAGGGGTGACCTGCCCACAGTCACACAGCAAAGCCCATCAAATGGTGCTGGACGCCAGGCCCCAAGCTGCCGAACCTGGTGACACAGTGCAGGCGCCATGAGGATCTGAATCTAACGTAATCACTGCTGTGTCTCCAGGACCTAGAATGGGCCTGGCACAGCAGTCATTCAAATATGGAAGGAAGGAAGGGCAGATGGAAGGAAGGAAGGAGGCTTGCAAGGATGGAAGGAAGGACAGACGGTGGGAGGAAGGATGGATGGGGGGGAGACTGTAGAACAGTATATATCAAACCTATCTAATTACCAGGATCACCTGGGGGGCCTATGCACTACAGTCCTCAGTCCCAACCTAGACAAGGACAGTCATCCTTAGTCACTGCAGAGAGAAGGAAGAATTGCTTTTAGTGAACCGAGGGGGGAGAGAATCACAGAGCATAGACTTCAGGAGTCAAAATCCTGCCTGGTACCCGCTGCAATGAGCTCCAGGAGCAGGTTCCAGTAGCCTGTACTTTGACAAGCCCCCAGGTGTTGCACGGGGCCAGCCAGGCTTGGGGCCGGCAGGTCAAGAAGAGAAAGGACCTGTCCGCTGGGCCTGGCGCACCTGTATTTATTGTCAGCACCCCTGCAGGCCCCATCCGCCCAGCTGCAACAGCTTCCTGAGCCACCTGGGAGGTTGAGTGTGGCCAAAGCAAACAAGATTGGGAAGAAAGTTGGCTGCCTCCACACATTTTCAAAGCAGGACTTCTGGCCCTGGGCCATCTGAGGCCTCCGTGGCTCGGAAGCCAGGAGCACCTTCGGAAAGCTGTTTCATCTCACTCATAAGAGAAATCAAATGAAGAATTACATCAACCTGAGCCTACCTGTGAATGGCCAAGTTCAAAACCTCATCAAAGTGTGAAAGAGCATGTGGGGAATAGGTACTCTCACACCTCATGGGCTTTTGTGGGTCCAACTGCCAAAGTTAAAATACTCTTTAACTCAGAAATCACACAGGAAGTTGTACTTTGGATATATCCATGTGTGTATATAAAAGAATAATGCACAGATAACCCTCATGCACTGCTGGTGGGAATGTAAAATGGTGCAGACACTTGGAAAATAGTCTGGCAGTTCCTAAAATGATTAGACACAGAGTTACCATATGACCCAGCAGTTACACGCCTAGGCATATACCCAAGAGAAATGAAAACATACATCCACACAAAGACTTGCACATCAATGTTCACAGCAGCACTGTTCGTGATTGCCAAAAAGTGGAAACAACCCAAGTGTCCATCAATGAATGAATGGATACAAAAAACTGTGGGAAAGCCATGCGATGGAATAGTATTCAGCCGTGAAAAAGAAATAAGTACTGACACCTGCCACAATGTGGACGAACCTTGGAAACATTATGCCAAGTGGAAGAAACCAGATGCAAAAGGCCACGGTTCTATTTAAAGGAAACGTCCAGAACAAGAAAGTCTAGAGAGGCAGAAAGTAGACAAATGGTTATTTAGAGAGGGGAGGGGGAATAGACGGTGATGGCTAAGGGGTTCAGGGTTTCCTCTTGAGGTGATGAAAATGTTCAAAAACGGATTGTGGTGGTGGTTGCACATAGCTAAAAGCCAACGAGGTGTTCATTTTAAATGAATGAACTGTACAGTATGTGAATTACATCTCAATAAAGCTGTTGCAAGAAGAGGAGGAGGAGGAGGAGGAAGAAGAAATGAAGCATAGTTGCTGCAGCTGATAGCAAAAGACTAGGAACAGTTCAAATGTCCCTTTCTAGGGGCTACAATGTTACGCTGTAGCCAGGATGCTAAGTGTCCATGAAAGAAGCCAGATCAAAGTGCTGACAACAAACCACCTCCAAAATAATTATTGCATTTTAAAAAAGAAATCAAGACGCAGAAGTGTATGTAGTAGGTACCCATTTGTAAGAGAAACACGACACACACACTGCACTATCACAGAGACCGTCTGGAAGACACACGGACTTGATCGTGAGCTCGCCTGGGGAGCGCAGGGTGAGGACTGAGGAAGAGAGACATTTACTGATTTTTTTTTTTTTTAGGTCTTCCCAAAAGTGTACATTTTAACTTTTCAATTAAAAAGCAGTCAATAACAAATGAAAATTAAAGCAAGGTTCCGCAACTGAAAATTGCTTAAGTCTCTTTCATCTAATTGTTAAAAAACAGTCTCAGAAACTTTAGGAACTGAGCCAATTGCCTAATCTAAGGGGGATGGGGAAGGGCAGACACCTCCAGGACCAGAGCTTCATCTCGAAGCTGCAGAACGTGCTCTGTCCACACGAACTAAAGTAAAGGCCTCTCGCCGGCCGGTATGGCTCAGTGGTTGAGCGTCGACCCATACACAAAGAGGTCACCAGTTCGATTCCCAGTCAGGGCACGTGCCCAGGTTGTGGGCCCGATCCCCAGTGGGGGGCATGCACAAGGCGGCTGATTGAAGTTCTCTCTCATCGATGTTTCTATCTCTCTCTCCCTCTCAATAAAGAAAAAAAAATTTTTTTAAATAATAAAGTAAAGGCCTCTCACGCTGCGGTCTGCAGTAAAATGAAACAGACATTTATCTGGCTACCAAGCTATGAGTTTCCACAAACTCTAGCCTGTTAGCCCTTAAAAGGGCAGAGAGGTTGACCATCAATAGAAACCAAAGGACCCCTGATGATGTCAGACTGAGCACCTGCCTCAGCCCAGGTGAGCTGAGTGTCATTTCCAAACTGGCATTCAAAGAAACCGGCTCAACTTCCCCCACCTGCTCTAAAGCCCATCGGAGCCCCAGACACGGTGGGCGCACTTGCACTTTCAGAAGGACAGGAGGAGGTGTGAAAACAACTGCAGCGAGAAGTGGAGGCAGGGAGGCGAGCAGGTGCACAGGCCACCCTCGGGGACAGCCGGCCGCAGGCCCTGCCAGCAGGTACTCACAGAAACCCTCGATCTTGTCGGCAGTCTTGCTCCAGGCCACCTGCCGCGTCTCCATGATCACCTGCACGGTCCTGCGCTCCGGGGTGGACTTGCGGAAGCTGAACACGGTCATCACTGTGCCCAACTCCAGGGCTCTCTTGATCTGACTCTTCTCATATTCCGGAAGGGCGTCCACGTTGACCATGGTGGTCATTGTTGGCCGCTCCAGGGAGGAGGAGGAGGAGGGAGGAACGAGGAGGCTGGAAGGGCAGAATAAGGACCGAATTGGTTTCGGTGAACTGAGGGGGATTTCGTAGTTAACAGGACTTGGACTTCCAGAGCCCAAGCCCTATCTCATGCCCATCAGGATGAGTTTTAGGAGAAGGTTCTCAGGGCAGCGAACTGCTGACCACTCAGAGCCCACACAGGACACACAGAGGTTTAAATGAAAGTGGAGGTGTGGGAGGAGACCCCTGACCTCAGTGACCTAACCATATCCAGGCTTTGAATAACCAAATCACCCCAGCCTGGCTGTGAGCCCTCCCTCGCCACACACTTTTATGCTATGGAGTATTTGAATAGTCAAAGCAGCCCCGACTGGCTCCCAGCACCCCTACCTCCCAACACCAGCATTTTTCAATCCTGCCTAGACATTTCTAACCATCCCTTTACTTCTAAATGAAGCTGGGAACAGAAGAAAAAAACAAACAAACAAAAAACCCTCCAGGACGTGTCCATGGAGAGACCTCTGCATGGAAATGGGGCCCACAGGACAGAAAACCTCAGGGCCCAGCATCCTCAAGTCCAAATCCTGGCTTAGGTTCCTACTGACCGTGTGGCCCTGGGCAGGCTGTGTGACCTCTGCAGCCTCAGTGTCATCCTTTTAAAATGGAGTGTTGGGACAGTTAGCTTGGAATGCGATGTCACCAGCACAACACTCAGCGTGATGTGATAGCCACTTATTCCCATGCACAGCCGACGTTCATCAGAGGGGCGCTGGGGACCCAAATCTTGGAGCCATATTTGTCTGGCCTCTCTCACAACCACATCCAATCCGACAGCAAATCCAGAACCCAACCTGTCTTGACCCTTCACGCGTTCCTCCTAGGATCTCATCCTTGCGTTATTCTAAGTACCTACTAACTGGTCTCCCTGCTTCTGCCCACCTCCGACAAACAACTCCCAGACCAGTAGCCAGAAGAATGCTTTCAGAACAAGAGGGAAATCATGTCACTCCTCTGTTCTACCCTGCAGTCCCTCCCTGAGCCCTTGCTCTGCACCCCCACCCCCAAGTCTGCCTCCCAAACGTCCAAAGACACACTGCCTGCCACTCAGCAGAGACTCCAACTGGAGGCTGGCCCTACACCAAGTCTCTTAAGCCCCCTGGGCTTCATCTCCACACTTGTAAAGGGGGAAATCGATTAAACAACCTTGTTCTTATGAGAATTAAACCAGATAGTGCATCTCGGACCCTTCAAACAAGGATGCAAAGCCAATGCTCCTGGGATTTAGCTAAATCTATGGTCATCAATTGTTCTGTGTACCTTACGCATCTCCTCCTCTCCCTCCGAATCCCTGGAGGAGCCTGCAGTTGTTACTTTGTAGAGAGGCAGGTGGTCAGCCAGGGCTGTCTGGGCCTCCACTCTGGCTCTGACTCCCCCAGAGCCTCTTGCCAAGATGCTCAAACTCCAGGCTTCAGTTCCCTCATCTATAAAACGGGGATAACAGCACCACCCTGAAGGCTGCTGGAAGGGCTGAAACCTGCAATATGTACACAGCCCCCAGCACTTGGCCGGGTCTTACATAATATTAATCAGCCAGTCAGTCAACACCTTAATAGGGTATCATCTCTACGCCAGGCACTGAGACGGGGACTAGGAAGCAACTGGGGGGGAGGGAGGGAGGCCCAGGCCTTGCCCTTAGCTCCCACCTCCCTCCCACAGCCAAGGCACTTCCTTCCAAGGGTGTGCAGGCAGCCAGAGATAAGATCTGAATTATACCTCTCAGTCCGTTTGGAAACAGCAGTCAGCTCCAGGATTCTAATGCAAAGAGGTCAGCACAGCCACGGTGACACCGGGGAGGGGGTGCCACGGGAGCAGTGGGCAGGGGCCCCGATTTTAGTCTGGGGTGAGGCTAGGAGCTCAGGGAGCTCAGAGAAAGCTGCTGGGGGACAGGGCATCTGAATCCAATCTTTAAAAAAAAAAAAAAAAATGAAGCAGGAGGGAACAGTATTCTGGGCCGAGGAACAGGCGTGAGTGAAGGCCCTGCAGCAGGACTAAGGGGTGCCAAGAACTCGGCCTGAAGTAAGCCTCCCACCTCTCCACCCTCTAATCCAGGCCAAGGGGAGGAAAAGGTGCCCATGGCCAGTGTCACCCAATAACTGCTTACTGGCCCTCAGCAGCTGCTATACGTGGTCTCACTTATCTCAGTGAGAGGGCCATGAAGTGAAAACCAGTCCTAAGGGGTGAGATGATGTGATCACGGTTATGCAGACAAGTGGCTGCACCAGCCCTGGAACCCTGGTCTGGATCCCACCACTGCTCCGTAAGCACCTGCCTTCTGGCCAGACAGTAACTAACTGGGCAGTCCCTCTCCCTCTACAGAGAAGTTAAAGGACTTGCCCAAGGTCACACAGTTGGAGAGTGGCAGAACCAGGAGCTGAACCTGGTCCCAGCTCTTCACCCTGCGGACTCTGGAGTTCCCCACTCCCAGGTCTCAAGTCCAAGGTGCAGGAGGGCATACTATGGAAACACACATCCTGTCACAACACCCCCACCTTTGATTAAACCTACCATCCAGGAGGCACTGGGACCCTCAATTCTGTCTGGCTCTGGGAGGCCCTCAGACTGAACCCTCCCGGGATTCTGGCTACTTCCAGGGCAGAAGCCCAGTGCGTGGGTTCAACCATAAACATCAAGTCTCTCATGCTGCCTCTGGCCAAGAACTGGAAAGACATCCTCATATCCTCATGGCCATAAGATCCTTGGAATCAACCACCAAAATCCCAATCAGCTCCTGACCCAGGATTCCAAGGAGGTCTCCAAAACTGTGACCGGGGCACTAGCCATCACAGGCCAATTCCATTTTGCCTCTGCTTTCAAAAAAGAAAAAGAAAAAGAAAAGAGAGAGAGAGAGAGAGAGAGAGAAAGAGCCTCAAAAATCCCTATTTTTGTTCCTGTTTCTCATCTTCCCTGGGTAACTTTGTAAAACAACTTATGGTGTAAATACCAACGTGTCTGGGATTCGATAAGATTCACCATTTCTACTTTTCATATCCTTCTCTTGGAATAAACTTTTGGGATACAAGGACCCAGCACCAGGAAGAAGAAGAGTTTTCTTCTCTTCATAGCTTTCTGCACACATAAGGCCAATGCAGGATATTACACCAAAAAAATCCCACGAAACAGCTGTCTGTTAAAAATCAGCACAGTCGCATCCCTGAGAGGTCACCATCCCTTCCACAGTGTGAGGGGTGTTGTTGCTGCACTGACCCTCCACCCTGCAGCATCAGGACATGTTTTCACTGGAGGAACAGGCAGCATCAGCCTCTGCAATAGGAGTGTGAATTGGCTCAACTTTATGTTTTTAGGACAACCTGTGAGCATCCAGTAAAACAGGCATATGTTTTGATCCCATTATCATATAAGTGCAGGAAGAAACACCAACAAAGATGTTCAGGGAGGCATCACTTGTAACAAAAAGAGAAAGAAAAACAACCCAGAAAACAACTCAAATGTCCATCAATTTGGGGGGGGGGGTGTTGGTTAGGGAAGAGTTCCTTCAATAAATAATGAAACATACACCTTAAAGAATGCACCCCAGCTACTGGAAAGAAGAAGGACGATCTATAAGCGATTTGATCTGGAAAGGTCATAAGAAAGATGGAAAAGAGTTGCCAGCCAGTGAGTATAACTACATTTCTAAAAGGCTGCCTGCTGGCCCTGGCCGGTGTGGCTCCGCGGTTGGAGCATCGGCCTGAGGTCCAGAGAGACCTGGGTTTGGTTCCCGCTAAGGGCATGTATCTCAGTTGCAGTTTGTCCCCAGCCCTGGTTGGGTCATGCGGGTGGCAGCAACTTCATGTGTCCCTTTCACGTCAATGTTTCTCTCTCTCTCTACCTCTCTCTCCCTCCCACTCTGTCTGAACAAAAAATGAAAAAAAAGTGTCCTCGGGTGAGAATAAATAAATAAATAAATAAATGGCTGTCTGCTCATAAATTCAGGGAGAAGGGCTGCTGGGGTGGGTGGAAGAGGGGAGAGAGGATGACTTGACTTTTTATTAATTTAAATGGTGACATAATGGAGGAGCTTTTCTCCTTTGTGTTTTTACTGTTTTCTAAACTAAGAACTGTTTTAAGGTTTTCTCACTGGCCATTTTTCACCGGCTCCACCCAGCAAAGAGGGTATGGGGATCCCCCCTCTACGCTCAAGGAGTGGGGGGAGAGTGGACAGTGCAGGGAGACAGCAGCATCACCAGGCAATTTCAGCATCAAGGAAGCCTGCAGTGGTTCCCCCCCTGAGCCAGCACACACCTAGCGCACACACTCTTGTAACAGGGTAAGTGCCTGGGGCTGGCAGGGACCCCTCAATTAGTAAGCCCTCCCTGACGAACTGTAGCTAAGGTTGATGGCCCAAGCCCCACGCAGACACCTTGACACCTTAACCAGAGGGTGAAGAACTAGCCAGGTACCCTTTCCATAGATAAATCCCAATTCTCAACACAGCCCTGGCGTGTAGCCCAGTGACCAGGGGAAGAAACTGCCGCTCAGAGAGGTTCTTCAGTGTGCCCAGGATCACACAGCTGGAATTGAAATTCAAATTAAGTTGACTGAAAAGGCCACCTGTTTCCTTTGAGCCACGTCAGCCCCCTCACCCCACCATACTCTCAGTCTCGGTCAAGCCTGGGGTGCTGAGTCCCTCCCCGCTTCCATCGGAATCCAGGCGCCAACGCCAGTGCCAACGGGACACATCTTTCCCTGGAATTCCTCCGCTATGGGGTAATGACCTCGTTGGGATTCCAAAACATAACCAGGAAAACGCACAAACACACGAAACTGTGCGTACAACTGTGGGTGGAAGACGGAACCATGAATCTCCCCTAACACTATCGTGGTCTCTCCCCGTGGGGAAGGGCTGCGCCTTCCCGGTAGCGCGCCGCCACCCACCCACCCTCAACCACCTGTGCAATACGGGGAAGTGCGGGCCGCCTGGCAGCCCGAAGTCCGCGAGCCCTGGGCACGGAGGTGGCCAAAGCACGGCCCGACCCCACGCAGGACCCGCGGCCCCAGGAGCCCTGAACGTCCACGCCAGCGCTCGCTCAGCCGCCCGGGACCGCAAGCCGCGCCGCTTCCTCCGGGTCCCCATTCAAAACCGGGGCTGCCCCCGGGCACCGACCGGCGAAGCGGCGCCAGCCCCGCGTGAGGAAGTGGCCGGCGCCCGCGCCCGGACCCCTGCCGCCACCGCCCCGACCCTCGGCACAGCGGGCGGGTCCGAGACGCCGCTCTCCACCCCTGCCCGCGCCCACTGCGCCCTGGCGCAGGTTCCCCCCGGGCTCAGATCCCCGGGCGCCCACGTGCGCTCCCGTCAGGCCGGGCCACCCACCTGGCCGTGCCCCCGCCGCGGGTCCCGGCTCCGGGGTCCCGCGCGCAGCCGCCCGCCGGCTCGGGCACTCCCTGACGCGCACGCCCTCCGACGCGGGTGCTGCTACTTCTGCTTCGGCCGAGGCCGCGCGCCACGTGACTCCTCCGGGGCCGCCCCCCGCGCCCCGGCCGCCCCACCCCCGGCCCAGGCGGCCCGGCCCTCCCGGCCCTCCCGGCCCTCCCGGCCCGCCGCTCTGACCACTCCCGCGCCGCGCCTGGCAGGAGATCCCGCCGGGGAAGAAGCCGAGGCAGCGGGAGTGGAAGCGAAAACTTCCACGTAGAGGAGCACTTACGGAGCGCCTGCCGCATACACGTGCTGTACATACATTTAATACACTCCTCGTAATCACCGGAATTGGCAGCTCATGGCCCTAATTCGAAATAGGCAAGCCACTTAAATACCCTCTCTCGTTGGTCAGGATCAAAGCAGTGCTGAGCTCCAGTTTGTTGCAAAGGACCTAGATTACCAGGTAAATGAGCTCTCATTTTCCCGATGAGTTTTTTTTTGTGTTTTTTTTTTATCCTCACCTGAGGACATTTTTGAATTTATCTTCAGACAGAGTGGGAAGGAGAGAGGGGGAAGAGAGAGAGAGCGAGAAACATCAACGTGAGAGAGACACATCTAGTGGTTGCCACCCACACAACCCCAACGGAGGCCGGGGACAAACTGCAGCCCAGGTACATGCCCTTAGTGGGGACCAAACCCGGGACTTTCAGGTCCACAGGCCCACGCTCCAACCACTCAGCCAAACCGGACAGGACGATATATATATATTTTTTTATGGCTCACTTTATAAACTTCAAAGCATATAGATGACTTAGTTAAACGCCTAGTTATGGTAGTTTAGCTAGCTGTGCCTATTTCGAGGCCCATACTGTATGATGTAACATATTCTTTAGGAGAAATATTGCTTTTTTCCATTCTCTGGTTTCATGAAGCAATGTTAGTCAAAGCTTTCATGTGTCTCTCTGATACAGATGTCTTCGTGGTGACCAGGGCCGGCTTTAGGGTCACCTGTAGAGCTTAAGACAGTCGCATGTTTAACTCCTGACTTGCTTGAGTTACATTTTTGAATCTATGAAAGTTGCTGTGACTTAAAATATTCTCTGTGAAGCCACAGAACTCACTGGCTGACTTGAGATAGTCCGTGGCTTCATTTCTTTCTCTGTCCCCGTCCCAGGAGTGTACCGGTGCTTTTGCCACAGAGAACTTCCAGCATGTTTTTTAAAGAGATCTTTGAAAGGCTTCTTATAACATCAACCCCTTGGAATCAGGAGGCCAATTTGCCAGGAATAATGGCTAAATCTGGATTATATTTCCTTGCCTTGTTTTTGTTTTGGGTTTTGTTTTGTTTTGTTTTTTGAGAACTTCAATTTATATTCCCATCCATCTTTTTAACATTTCTATTTTGGTACGTCATATAATGTACCACATATATTAGTACAACCGCATATGTGCATAACTTATTGTTACAAAGGCTCCATGTGTAGGGAAGCATGTTAAATCTCTTGCTGAGAAAATGAGGCTGAATGCAAGCAGACCTTCTGGAGTTCACTGTAGGAAGTCCTGGCTCCTCCACACTGTCCAGACAGATGCTCATTCTGGCTGGAGTTTCCTCTGGTCCCCTGGGATCAAGCAAGAACAGAACATGTAGAGTATGCTCCCATTGGTCCGGGGGGGGGGGGGGCACACATCTTTTAATCTATGGTCAAAAGCCTACAGCATTTTTGGAGTTAAAATGTCTGTTGTATATAAGAGAATAGTCATAGTAGATGGCAGTTTTTTTCATTGCTTTTTTTAAATTTATTTATTTATTTTTACCTTCAGGTGAACAGCTAATAGAATCCAGTGCAATGAATAAGTGTTTGGGGGGCTCTTCATCGCCTCGAACTTCAACTTGGAAGTTCAGAATAAAGTAATTGAGACAGCAGGCCCAGTTCTGGGAGGACTTGAACACAAAATGATAGTTCTTTTCCAAGGCATGATGGGTAGGTAGGAGGAGAGGTCACCCTGTATATTCAGGCATATACTGCAGAAAGCCCCCGTCATGGGTTGACTATGGTGGGACGTTATGTGGGTGGGTAGTGGAGGCAGGATTTGAACCCAGGTTTGTCTGGTGCCCGAGCCCATGCGCATGCAGACCCACTGCCCATCCCCGGCATTAATCGGAGGCGTTCAGGCAGGGAGAAGTGAGTTTGTCACCGATCCACAGAGATTCACAAATGGGTCAGGAAGTGACCTCAGAGGGTGGAGAGAAGTTTCTTTTCCTTTTCATATAAAAAGAAAAAGAAGGGGGAGAGAGAATAACCTCAGAGAAAATAGTATTTTAATCAGCATTGTTTCAACTTTCTATTCTGCGCCCCTTACCAGTCCTCGGGTAGGCACATGATTTTTGTCCCAGAATCCTCCTCCATTGGCTAGCAGCCATGGTGCATTGGCCCATTAGCCCCTCAGTGCCTGTTTGCCTCTCTGCAAAATGGGTATAAAAACTGTACCTACGTCTCAGGGTGATTGTAAGGGTTCAATGAGACAATGGAGGTAAAACAGGCATCCCAGTTCAACCATAAGGGCTGACTATTTTTAATATTGTTACTGAAAAGAAAAAGCTCCGTGTTGTAGTGGGATGACATGGACTTGGAGAACAGGGAGATTGGGGTTCAAGTCCCAGGTCTTTGACTTCCTTAGTTGTGTGACCTTGAGCTGGTCAGTTACCCTCTCTGAACCTCCCAGTTTCCCCATTGGACCTACCTTTGGGATATCCACAATAGGTAAATCTATAGAGACAGAGCCCTTGCTGGGTGGTTCAGTTTGTCTGAGCATTGTCCCATACACTGAAAGGTTATGGGTTCGATTCCCGGTCAGAGCACATACCTAAGTTGCAGGTCCGATCCCTGGTTGGGACACATATGGGAGGCAACTAGTCAACATTTCTCTCTCACATTGATGTTCTTCTCTCTCTCTCCCTTCATCTCTCTTTAAAATCAATAAACATATCCTTGGGTGAGGATTTTTTTAAAAATCTGTCCTGGCCAGTTTGGCTCAGCAGTTAGATCCACGGCCTGCAGTCAAGAGAGACCTGGGTTTGATTCCCGCTAAGGGCACGTATCTCGGTTGTAGTTTGTCCCCAGCCCCGGTTGGGGTCGTGTGGGTGGCAACCAGTCGATATGTCTCTCTCACATCGATGTTTCTCTCTCTCTCTTCCTCCCTCTCTCCCTCTTGCTAATAAAAAAAAGAAAACAATTTTTTTTTTAATGTATAGAGACAGAAAGTAAAATAGCAGTTGCCTAGGACTGTGGGGAGGGGTGTTGGAAGGAGATGACTAAGGGGTAACAAGGTTTCTCTTTGGAGTGAGGAAAATGTTCTAAGACTGATTATAATGATAGTTAAGCATCTCTGTGAATATTCTAGAAGCCATTGAACTGTATGGTATGTGAATTATATCCCATTAAAGCTGTCCAAACAGAACACCTACCTAAAGAATTCAAGGTAATGGGGAAGACGGAGCTTAGCACGACACAGCTGTTGATGAATAACAGCGTCTCCTTACAATAACCATTATTATTCAGTGGCCTCCCAGCAGCCAGGCTGAGGCCCACCACCGCCCCAGCGAGCCTTGCCAACCTCCCCTCCGCCGCCACAGACAAAAACGACCAGAAAACCCCTGAGAACCTTTGAGTTTGGTTTCCTTTCCTGACGTTATTCAGAGAAGTGCATGTCCCCTGGGGACAAGCTGAGTCCCAGCTGCTGGCTGGCAGGCCTCTGTGACAGGAAGTACCACCCAGCACTGGCTCCCAGAACTTGTCAGGTTAGGCCCAGCCTAGCCACTTGTGCGTGGGCATAGACCCCTCTGGGTTTTTTTTTAAGTTTTATTGAAGTATACAAAAACTGCACATATGTAATGCACACAAATTTGATGAGTTTGGACATATGCATAGACCCATGTTAACAACACAACTAAGATAATAAACATAGCCATCACCTCCAGATAGTTCCTGTTGTTGCTTTTTATGCTGTACCGTGTGTGTGTGTGTGTGTGTGTGTGTGTGTGTGTGTGTATGGTACTTAACATGATGTCTACCCTCTTAACAAAGTGTTAGGTGTACAGTGCAGTATTGTTAACTACAGGCGCGATATTGTACAGCAGGTTGCTGTAATTGACTCCTGTATGACAGAAACGTTATACTCATTGAACACCTTTCCATTTCACCTCCCAGCCCCTGGCAATCATCATTCTATTCGCTGCTGCTGTAAGTCTATTTTATTTTATTTATTTATTTCTAATCCTCACCCGAGGATATTTTCCCACTTATCCTCAGACAGAGTGGGGAGGGGGGAGAGAGAGAAACATGGATATGAGAGAGACACATCAATTGGTTACCTTCCGCACGACCCCGACCAGGGCCGGGGACCAAACTGCAACCGAGGTACGTTCCCTTGACCAGAATCGAACCCGCGACTCATTGGTCTGTGGGCCAACACTCCAACTGCTGAGCCAAATCGGCCAGGGCTGTATCTATTCTAGATACTTCATATGAGAGAGATCGTGCAATATTTGTCCCCCTGTGATTGGCTTATTGCACTTAGCATTAAGTCTTCCTGGTTCATCCATATAGTCACAAATGAAGGATGCCCTTCTTTTTAAAGGCTGAATAATATTCCATTGTGTGTATATACAACATTTTCTTTATTCATTCATCCGCCGATGCACATTTAGGTCTTGGCTATTGTGAATCAGGCTGCAGTGAACTTGGGAGTGTGGATTTCGCTTTGCAATCTGCCTTCAGTTGTTTTGAATATATACCCACATTTGGGAAGGCTGGATCCTATGGTACTTCTATTTTTAATTTTTTGAGGAACCTCCTTACTGTTTTCCATAGTGGCTGCACCAATTTACATTCCCACCAACAGTGCACAAGGGTCCCCTTTCTCCACATCCTTCCCGACCCTTGTTATCTTTTGATTTTTTTGATAACAGCCATCCTAACAGGTACGAGGTG